TGAGTGTGCGTGAGTGTGTGGCCGCGTCCCTGTGTTTGTGGAAGGGGGACCAGTAAAAGATCCCCTGCATTTCCGCTTGGCGATTGTTCTGTTCCGGCAGTTGAGATGGCGAAGCTTCGCTGCATTCAGGTTTTTGCATCCAGATTTGAACACACATGTTGGTCTCCGATCGCCAGACTTAGCTTGTGTCTGCTTGACTTGAAAAGATTTTCGGTTTAAGTTGGGCAGCCCCGAGATTTTTGGCCAAGCAGCGCCATGGCACTTGCGTATCAGGAAGAGTTGGCGGCGCAACATTTGTTGGGCTGAAGGAACTTGGCATCAACATGGCCAATGCCATGCCTGGCGAGGTTGAAGAAAAGGTTTGCGCGCCAGTTGGGCAGAAGCAAGCCCCTTTGATCCTGCCCGTGGATAAAACACCTGAGTCGGCTGTGTCTGGGGCTTAAACGCGGAAGTGTGTGTGACAGGTATCAGCAAGCCTAATCGTGTGGTGTTGTTTGTGTTGAGGCGCGACAACGAATGGTGGTTGCGGGTTCTCCTGGACTTCCCTGAATTTCAGGAACGTCCTCCCTCGAACCTTGAAGCCCAAGTAGTGCTGGAGGCCCTCAACACGAACAAGAAGGCCCTTCCAAGCTAGTTTTGCAAACCCTCCCAAATTCATGTTGTGTTTGTTGCAGGGCCTGGNNACAGCCCCTTGTCATCCGAGTTTGTTGTGCAGCGCAGTTCTGTGAAGGGCCTTTGTGTCCCATTCATGTTAATTGCAGGCGTTGACGACGGAAATGGAGGCTCAGGTGCACCGCATGAAGAAGGTATGGAGCCGAATGAGGAATCTTTGGTCGAACAGTAAATCTTCCAGTCGGCAAGATTGGCTGCAAGACTTGAAGAACAAGATGAAGGCATCGGACTCATGAACAAAGTGAGTGCATACAATGTAAGTTTCTCAATGTTTATGTGCAGCTTCAGGCACGCCCAAATGACAGCCAGCCGAGTGCCATCGATTCCCAGTCTGTTGAAGCTGCTCCGGGCGATACAGACCGGGCCATTGCCGACGAGGCGTGTGACAGAGTGGGCAGCGAGGAGGCGGAGGATCCAGATGTGAAGCAGATGGAGGACCTCTCAAACCTCCTTTGGGCAGCTTCGTACGTCAACTCAGATGATGAGACGGGTTCATCGAGCCCCAGCCCACTGAGCCAGGCTGAGGATGCCTCAGGTAGCAAGGGGCCATCAGTGCCAACCTTGCGGAGAATGATGGAGCATGTGCAGGCCAAGGCTGCATGTGGTGGGCCTGACGATGATGATGAGTCTTCCGATGATTCATCTGGTGTGTGGGTTCCTGGGCGTGATTTGTGAATGAAGAGGCTCTGTGTTGAGGGGAGTCCTGTCTTTGTGTGTGCGTCTGCAAATTGAGGCTTTGATGGAGAAGCATCAGCAAGAGGATCGCTCTGATGATGAAGTGACGTTGGTCATGCAAGGTGGCCGCGACCAGGATGACGATGTGGTGGACTCACCAAACGAGGTTGATGGTTTCGAGAAGGCTGCCAAGGATGTGCTCAAGGAGCCCCCGATGCCTTTGCCAGCCCCGGGAAGTTCAGGCGTGAACATTCTGCAGATGTGACATTTAACAGTCAATGTTGCGCGTGCACAGTTTTAGAAGGTCGAAAGTCAAAGTCGAAGTCTGCAAAGCAAAAGAAGAAGAACCCAGCCAAAAAGGATGTTGCAACGGATTCTACCAAGGTGGACGCCAAGAGTAGCTCCCCAAAGCCCGGGAAGAAGCGGACAATTGATGAAGCTGATCGTGCTGCTGGTGCCTTGGCTTGCATGTGTGATGTTGGTCAATGTTGGATCAGGAGCAAGTGGGCTTGTTTTGCCAGGAGCCATCCCTGAAGACGTGCTGAACTCGTTTGCCGAGGAGTACCGCCCCATCATCCAGTCCCTCCCGCTCTCGCTGCAACCCAAGACTACCACGCATGGCAAGCACAGCTACACGGTTCGCCTTGAGGGGGCGAATGACAAGCGAGTGGAAGTCTTGCTTCGACAGCGGGCGCTAAAGGCCAAGGGAGTCAAGTGTAAGTCGCCCCAAGGCTGCATTTCAGATTCAAGTGATTGAGCAGTTGGACTGTCATTAATTACGTAGGGTTACCAAATATAAGTGCCTGGTGCTCAGGATTTCTTTCAAGCGCAGCATCCCGGATGCGATGGACATGCTGATGGCTAAGCTAGCAGGAGGTCCGGAGAAGGCCGAGGATGTGGAGGATGAGGCTCATGAGGATGAGTCTTCCTGATATGGGAGTGCCAAGCAGGATTTTAATATCGAAGCTGCGCAGACATTTTGAGTTGCGGTGTGCGCACACATTTAAAGTTTGATCAGTGTTGTCCGTGAGCTGAAGCTGTCGCTTTGCGCGGATCGACCGCAGACGCGAGGGGAAAGAGTGGTCCTGGTGCGTGCGTTTTGCGTGCAATCATCATAAAAAGTCTCCTGTAGTTGGTGCGTGGCGTGTGAGCTTGTGTGGCGGTGTCTGAGGAACTGCATGGTTTCGCGGGTATGCGTATATCTTCTGATCTTATGCGCCCTATCTCTACCATGGTGCTTGGAGCAGCCGGCCTCCTCGTTATTGGAGTTCCACCCCATGTTCCAGTTTGTAGCCAAGAAGTTCAAGATTTTCAAGGCCATTCCATCACAGTAAAGGGTTCTTTGTTTGCGTTGCGTCTGGAGAATCTAGATGGGTAGTCGAGACGATTGCTAAAGTGCAGCTTAAGAGGATATGGTTTTGACCCGTCCTTCGTCATTTGCTTTTGAAGAATACTGATTGTTGCTACTTGTTGCTCTTTGGGGGCACTCAGGCTTTGTTTGGCAGCCCTGGATGGTATTCAACTCATAAACCCTGCTTGGAAGCCGTGAAAATATAAATAAGTTCCAACCGCCTCACGCACAAAAGTCAGGTGTATATTTATTTGGGATCCTATGGCGCTGAATGCTTGAAGCTGAGATGACGCCTTGCATGCTTTGGTCCCATTACTTGCACCAACTCACAAGTTTTGCTTCAAGCTCCCAAGCCCACGTTCATCTACTCGAACTACAAGTGGATTTCGGAACTTTATATGCCGTTGCCGGCGAACAAGCAGTGGTCGACGGATATCACTACAAAGTGCCTTGACGTGTTGCGAGCCTCTGAAAGCATATCTGCTGTTTCACTGATAATGTTCTTTAGTTGGCGCATTGCAGGTTGTTGCTTGATCATCACATGCCATGGTAATGGCGACGTAGGAGGAAAGGTGCTGCTGCTGCTGCTGCTGCTGCTGCTGCTGTTGCTGGTGTTGGTGCTGGTGTTGTTGTTGGTGTTGCTGCTGCTGCTGC